CTGGAGGCCCTGCTGAAGCCGCCTGCCAGCATTGGTCTTTTCCTTTACTGTGCCCTAGACGTGTTAGGTCCTACAGGGAAGAAGAAAGAAGTCTGCAGTAGGAGCTGATTTCCAGGAGTACAACTGTGTGCTTGGGAGTGACGCTGCGCAAGGGGTGGCGCCCCAGACTCACACTCGGGGAGCTGTTGCAAAGGAGGATGCTCACATAGACTGGACCCTTTAGGAGAATTTCCCTAAGGGGCCCAGGTCTGAGCAGTGGTTTTGAATTGGGGGAGTGATGTTGATAAGACTCTTAGGACACATTTTTTTTGGAACCTGGGCCTTCCAAGCAAATGCCATTTTAAAATTCGATCTTATGCCCCTCTGGTCACCAAATTGTCTGGTAAGTTAGTTGAAGTCTATAGACCCTACGAGCAGGCAACTTGGTTGTGGGATTGAGGTTTGAATGTAGGTCTGAATGTATGTTTGCCAAGGAGGTTGGTGACTGACCTATTTAGCAGTGTCCTTGGAGAAGCTTGGTACTTGTGTATGGAAAGTCTGAATAAGAGTCACAGATTCAGTGGGACCCATACGCGGGAGAACCTGGGGGCCTGCTCTTTGAGACAGCCAGATTACTGGGGAAACTGCTGTCCCTGGCCTGGCGGATGACACGACCAGCTCCTGGGTGGACCTGTGCCGTCTGGAGCCATGCTTCCCTCTCCTTCATCACTAGGAAAGGACTGTAACCATTGGCTCTTCCATAGCTATCGTGGGATGAAGCCGAGGCTCTAAGGGGCCTGGGAGTAGCATTAAGCCTTCGCTTTGTCTGGTCATTCCTTGGGAGCCTGTGGTGTCTGTGAACTCTCACTTGTTAGGAAACAGTTCACTTGCAAGCTCCAAAGGCCTTGAAGGATGTACCACAAGATCTTCGGGTCACGTTTGGAAGGCATTGTGCTTGAGGCTCAGACTTGGATTCAAATCTTAATGCTGCCCCTCCAGTGAAAACCAGGAACCATGGGTCATTCTCTTAGATTCTCTGAGTCTTGATTTCCCTCTTTATTCGGTGGTTAATTGTGCCTGTCTCATAACACTGTTGGCAGATTAAATCAAATGATATAAAGTGCCTGGGATGGAGCTCCAGAAATGTCAGTTCCTTTCTCATACAGACTAATATCTGATACCTGAAGCTAAAGCCTTAAAAGTCCAGTTTAAAATTAATGAAAAACTAAGATATTTAATGAATTATTTTAAAAAGAAACACTGTGAGAAAAATCTTTAGATTTAAGCCAAGGAATTTTGAAGGTGGAGTTATAGCCTTATTTCCTAAATGCAGTTGTTTTCAGTGACTATTTTATTCATTTTTATATGGAAGAAATATGTCATATGGAAGAGATGGCCTTGGTATAAAGGCATCTGATGAAGTACAGCTAATTAAACACATAATTTGGTACAGACAGTGTCCCCATCATACTCTGGCACATAAAATATTTACTTTGATAGACTGAAGCTGTTGCTCTGAACTGGGTCTGAGTTGTTATTGAGACTGAGTGTTTTTAATCTAGCAAATGATAATGACTTCATCACTTCTGACTGCGTGTGTCTGGTTTCAGCCTGGAATGAGATTTTATTGCTGTGCTTTTAGCTTTCTGTAAGAGTGCTTGATACACTATCTCTGCTGAGTTCCTGTTTTTGAAAAGAACATTAAATACTTATTAATTTATATTTATATTCAAAAGTCTAAATCTGTGCCAAACAGAAGCTAGACTCCTAATTATGAATTTTCTTTCTATTTTCAGTTTTATGTGAAAGCCAAGAACTTGTACATCACAAAGAGTAGATCAGCTCAAAGTTCCTTTGCAAAGTGCTCTGATATTTTGGTCTTTGCTCTCCTCAATTCCAGATGCGCTTATACCAGAAGAAAGGTCTAGTTTTGGTCCTATTCTAAACAGATGTGTTTTTTGGGGAAATCTCCCTAAGCCCATGCTTTAAGAAAGCACTCCTTGGCTTTATTTCCGTTTCAAGAGTGCCTAGTGTATTTGTCTGCTTCCGGAGATGCAAGTTCTACTTTAGTTCAACTTTAGTTTCCTTTGCTATGTCTCTGTGTGGCTTTTAGAGATTCTAGACCTCAGATTTGTGACCTCACAGATTAGGGGCATGGAATGAAGAAATTTGCTCATGTTATCTAAAGCTCACGATTTAAGCTGTAAATGTCTCAGGCATTAGTGTTTCAGTACAGATTGTGGATCAGTTAGTCCAGGGTGGGTGTGGTGCTGAGAGTCTGCATTTTTAACAAGCTCCAGTCCATTCCAGTACTATTGCCTGGAAAATCCCACGGACGGAGGAGCCTGGTAGGCTACAGCCCATGGGGTCGCAAAGAGTCGGACACGACTGAGCGACTTCACTTCACAGGTGATGCTAAGGCTACGGTCTGAGGACTGCAGGGAGGAGGATGTGTTCAGACTGCACATTTTGAAATTTGCCTGCTGGGATTTGCATGCTTGTTGCTCCATGTCTTAGCTCTGTGACTTTGAGTAGGGCATTCAGCTGCTCTGGCTCTCAATTTTGGCATCTGTCAAAATGGGAGTAATTAAAATGGTATTTAGCTCTAAGGGTTCACTTAAAGAACAGCGGTTACGGGTCATGTAAAGTAGTTAACACCTGATAGCAAAATGATAACTACTGATAAATATTGATAGAGATTTTATCTGGTGAAATGTTCCTCAAGAATTGGAAGGGCAGAGGAAGGCATCCTGATATTTATTTATTTTTGCCTGAGAGGTGTTTCAGTGACCAACTCTTGCAGTCTTTCAGAGCAGTCTTGGTTTTAGCACTGCGAGGCTCGCATCCTAGGAAACGTCTCTCTTCTGAGCACATAAGAACAAGTGGCCCCCCTTGGCTCAGACGGTAAAGAATCTGCCTGTAGTGTGGGAGGCCTGGGTTTGATCCCTGGGTTGGGAAGATCCCCTGGAGAAGAGAATGGCTCCCCACCCCAGTATTATTGCCTGGAGAATCCCATGGACAGAGGAGTCTGGCAGACTGTAGTCCATGGCACCACACAGGGTTGGATGTGACTGAGCAGCTAACACTTTCACATACTTTATACACTTATTTTGAAATCTTCACAGTAACCTCATGACAGGTAGCATTACCTGAATTTCAGAGATGAGCCATGCTAGTAAGTGGTGAAACCCCTCTTCAGACCTGCCTTTGAGTCCTTCTTCAGAGGCCTTCTACGTTCCCTTACATCTGTTGTACGCTCAAATGTTCCTCTGTTATGAGTCTTTCAAAATGTATGAAAGAAGCCTATTTGGGGTAGAATAAGATAAAGGAATAAAAGATCTTTAACTCCCGTGAGGTTATTTTAGTTAAAAAAAAAACCAGTAAGTAGTAAATAGGAATATACTGGACACATCAGAATCACGATGCTACCCTGGTCCCCAGTCTGAGGAAAGGTGACTCATCTCAAAGCCTTGCTTTTTGTAGACCAAATGAAATGGATAGTTGGGTTAAGATGAAACTTAGAGGCAGAATATTTAAATAATCCTGGGAGAGGGTGGGTGTTTGAGGAAGTAGCTAGGGACAATCTGATTTTATTACTTTTTTTTTTTCCTGACCCTTTTTTCCTAGTTTTCTGTAAAAATGACCAGACATGTGTTCCTTATCTTTCTTCATTTCTCTGTCTTTGTAAAAGATTAATTAGCGCAGATTCCATTGAGTTTTGTCCAGTGGCAGCATCAAGAGATGCCCGAGCATAAGGAAGTCCTGAGATAATCCTGCCGTCCTGTCTGAGCTTTCTCTGTGAGACAGCAGAGAACCGTGCCAGCTGGAGTCCTCCCCCAAGTCTCCCCGAGACAAATGCCGTTAGCGCCAAGGAGGCTTCTGCAGACGCTGGGCATAGAGTTTGCTCAGTTTTACTGTTAAGAAAGCTACTGTCATTGCTGAAGGAATTTTTAACTCCAGACCAAACCTTTTTTCCTCAGTTGGATGTAGCCTCAGTGAACCTGGGCCTTGGCAGAAGTCCTATTTTTATGTTCTAAGAATGGATTTGGACAGACTTTAACATAAAAGCTTTCAAACATTTAAAAATTGAATACATTAATAAATAAAAATATAAGATATAACTAATAAAAAATAAATTGATGCCAGTTATCTTAAAATCTCTAGAATCAATGACATTTCAAAGGAAGGACCCTTTATTACTGGTATTTATTTATGTATATTTTAAACTGTTTTAATGTGTAATGGATTTGAAACATGTAAATCTTTATTCAAACACTTATTTACAAACATTTTTATGGAAAGATAGAAAGTGAAATGGACAAATTTCCCCATTTTATCTATTTGATTTGTCTATAATTTTAATTGGAGATAAGACGTGTGAGTGAATTACTTTTTGTAAATAAACTGCACATGTCAATAAAGATCACTGTAATTATTGAGAAAAACAGTCATTGAAAGATAAGAGTTATTTTTATTGTAGAACATTTATAATTACCCTATATCAGTGTTTTTCAAAGTGTGATTCCTGGGCCAGCAGCATCAGCATTATCTAGAAATTTGTTAGAAGTGAGCATTATTGTGTTCCACCCAGATCTAGTTTCAGAAACTGTGGAGGAGGGGCCCAGCAGTCTCTCCTTTAAACTTCTTAGGTGATTTCAGTACAGGTTCAAGTCTGAACCATTTAGAAGAGTGTCTGTACATCTGTGTCTCTTTTTCTGTTTTGCATATAGGGTTATCGTTACCATCTTTCTAAATTCCATATATATGTGTTAGNTCTGTGTTACATTAAGAATATGTAGAAATTAATGATAAATAACTCAGCTTTAAAAAGGTCATCAATAAATATTTCACAGGAAAAAAAAGAAGAGTGTCTGATGGGTCATTAAGATGATAGACCTTTGGCAAGGTTCAAGAGTTAGAACCTAAACTGATGACTCACCAAGTAGACAACCTCTTTCTCTCTCTGCCTTCTAGGAATGTGGTAACCGTGGGACAGTGTGTTCTAAGAAAACGAATTTGAGTTTTAAGGGTGAAGGTCTAGTTTTAAGTGGCAGCTTTTTGTTTGCAAGTCCCGTAAGTACTTCGAGCCATGGTTTCTAAGACATAAAATGGGATAGTTCTAGCCTCCTCCCAACTCAGTGTCATAGAGGAGTTGTGATCGAATGCAGACATGCAAGTGAGGGCAATTTCTAAACTACCCGATGCTATACACATGTTACTTTCCGCATGATCGTCACTGCCGGTATGATTACAATACCCCAGATTTTCCCTTCTCACCCTCCCCCTCCTTGCCCCATTCAATCTGATTGCTCTTGAAATTTGTTTTGCAAAGCAGAGATTAAAAAAAAGAAATGGGAGACTTTTCAAATTAGAAAAGAAACCAGCATTCTTGCCGTTTCTTTTATATATGAAATGATACATATGGATTTTTTCTTTGTTTCATGAACAGTCTTTTAAGCCTTTAATCCACAAGGTAAAATGAATCAATAGCACACTTCAGTGATACCATGGCAATAATAATGCATTTGGAACGTTAAGTGTCAAATTTCCCTCACATATTTCAAAAATTGTTTTACATTTCTCTGGTTTAACCTCTCTTGACACCAGTGAACTTAAGGCTTGTAATTGAAGGATAAGTGAGCAAAAAAGCAGTTCAAGTGATAATATATCCATTTCAATTTCTATTTTCTGGACGGAGACCTTTTATGCTAAGTTCATGTGAGAGTACATTTTTACGACAAAATTATAACCCTCAAATAGATGTTACTCAGGCAGGCTGTCATCTGTCCTGGTATAATGGATTTTGTGACAATGAAATGCAAGAGAGGTCTCCCAAAAGCTTTGCCTAAGGAATTTCTGTCAGTAGCCTATATGCTGCCGAAATTTTCAAGATGCTATTATGACTCATTTCTGCTCATTATAGAAAAGTGACTTGGTATTTTAATCATGAGATACAATTGTGTTGAAAAAGGGGAAAGAAACATAAAGGATAATCTGAAAAATTCCCATGTATTCATTAGCTGTACTATTTGGTAAATTTTGTTGCTTTTGAAATGGCTTTACGTAATAAAACCTGCTAATTTAGAAGATCGAATATAGTTGTTTCTCCTGATTTGAGTTTTACTCATAATTTTCTGTTTGTCACTAGTGGGATGAAAAGAAGGTGTCCTTTGCAAGGAGAGGTAATCTGAGCTTAAATTCTCCAAGTTCTTTCTTCCTGGAGGGGTAGAGAATGCTGCTTCTCTCTTTTCAGTGTTTTTTTTTCTGGAGGGAAAGTATGTAAAGTTGTCTCATAATATTGTAACATGTGCAGTTAAAAATATCACAGCATCTATATGGACCAAATACTTTTCCTTTTTCTCCCTCTGGTTTTACTGAGATATAATTGAGCTAACACTGTGTTAGTTTGAGATATGCATATATTGTGAAATGATTACCACGATAGGTGAGTTAACACCTTCATCACTCACATAATTGCTTTTTTTGTGATGAGAATGTTTAAGATTTACTCTCTTAGCTTTGAAGTATATGGTATAATTTCATTAACTGTTGTCACCATACTATATGTTAGATTTCTAGAAATTATTCATGTGATAGCTGAAAGCTTGTACTCTTTGACCAGTATTTCCCCATTCCCCAACCTCCCATGGCTAGCAACCATTCATTATTCTAGTCTGTTTCTATGAGTTTGGCTTTTTTATATTTCACATAGAAGTGATATATATTATTTGCCTTTCTTTATCTGACTTATTTCACTTACCATAATGCTTTCAAGACCGTACATGTTGTTACAAATGGCAGAGTTTCCTTCTTTCTTGTGGCTGAATAATACTGTTCTTTATCCATTCATCTATAGCTCGACCCTTAGGTTGTTTCAGTTTCTTGGCTATTGTGAATAATGCTGCTATGAACATGGGAGTGCAAATATCTCTTTTAGATCCTGATTTCTTTTTCTGTGTGTTATGGTCTGGGTGCGGGTTGGAAAAGAATTTCCAGACATGAGACAGAATGAGAGGGAAATAAAGTTTATTAGAGTGGGAGATGCTGTTAAAACAGTGAGTCAGCTCAAGGGAGAACCAACATTGAACAGGGATCTTTAGTGCATTTTTATAGCCAGGGGACAAGGAGCAGGATAGGGGTCTTACAGGTCATTTGCTGATTGGATAAGGCACATATACTGGGTCGGGGAACAGTAAGGCAAATACCTTCTCCCTATGTGGTAGGAGAGGAGACAGGTTATACTGCTCAGGAGGACCTAAATCTGTTAATAGTTACGACAGGGGGGAGGGAAGGACAATAAGGGTCTGGTTTTTCCGTTCCTGCATCCCAAGACCCTCCTTGGTTTTATCTGCTCTTTCATCCTTGGGTCACCGCAGTGTGGGGTCCCAAAGAGTCAGACATGACTTAGTGACTAAACAACAACAGATGTGCTCTAGTTTAAAACAGGGTGCTGACTGTGGTGTGGAGAATGAATTTAGGAAGGCAAGGGGGAGAGGCAGGGAGACCAGGTGAGTGAGAAATGATGGTGTGAATGAGAATAAGAATGCTGCTGGTGGCAATGGAGAAAAAATAATCATATTGAGATAAGTTTTGAAGGTAGGACAGGCAAAACGTGTTGGTGGATTGCATGTGGACACAAAAAAATTAAGGAAGCTTACTAAGTTTTAACATGAGCAACTGGGGTGGCTAGTGGGCAAGTATCAAGTCAAGGAACACTAGCAAAGGAAAAAGATCAGAAATGTTCATCAAAAATGTGGTTTTGATAATTCAAAAAGACACATGCACCTCAATGTTCATTGCAGTGTTATAGAAACATGGCAATGGAAGAAGATAAGTGGCNCCCACTTATTTATTTTTGCTTTTTTTGTTTATGTTTTTAATATCACTTTCCCAAATCATTGTCAAGACCAATCTCATGAAGCTTTTTACTTAAATTTTCTTCTAGTTTTATGGTTTTACGTTTATGTTTCAGTCTTTAATCCATTTTGAGTAAAATGGTTTCCATCTGCATGGAATATCTTTTCCTATTCCTTCACTTTGAACCTGTGGGCGAACTTAAAGCTGCGGTGAGTTTCTTGCAGGCGTCCTATAGTTGGAAGTGAGACTGAAAGTTTTAGTTGCTCAGTTGTGTCCAAGTCTCTGTGACCCCATGAACCTTAGCCCACCAGGCTCCTCTGTCCATGGGATTCTCCAGGCAAGAACACTGGAGTGGGTAGCCATTCCCTTCTCCAGGGGATCTTCCCAATACAAGGATTGAACCCAGGTCTCCTGCATTGCAGGCAGATTCTTTGCACTCTGAGCCATTAGGGACGCCCATCATATAGTTGGGTCTTGGTTTATTATTCGTTCTATGTCCTTTGATTATGTAATTTAATATAAAATTTAATTTATTTACATTAAGGTAATTATTGAGAGATAAGTACTTATGGTTCCAAGGTATTGCTTTCTGGCTCTGTTGTTCCCTTAATTGCTCTTTTTATCCTCTCTTAATGTCTTCCTTTAGAATTGAGGACTTCAGTAGTGGTATGCTTTGAGTCCCATCACTTTATCCTTTGTATATCTACACTAGGTTTTTGCTTTGTGTTTACAACGAGGCTTACATAAATTACCTGGCAGTCTGTTTTACATTGATGACAAATTAACTTCAACTGCATACAAAAACTCTACCCTTTTATTCCCCACATTTTATGTTTTTGATGTCACAGTTGACCTCTTTTATATTATGTATTTATTAACAATTTATTGAAGCTGTTGTTTTTTTAATACTTTTGTCCTTTAATCTTTATTACTAGAGTTAAATAGGTTAATATGCCACCATATTAAAGATAGTATGGTGAATTTGAGTATATACTTGTCTTTGCCAGTGTATTGTATGTTTTCATGTTACTAATAGTGCCCTTTTATTTCAACCTGAAGAATTCCTTTCACTGTTTCTTGTAAGTTAAGTCTAGTGGTGATGGACTCTCAATTTTTGCCTGTCTCAGGAAGTCTTTATTTGTCCTTCATTTCTGAAGGAAGACTTTTCTGGATAAAGTATCTGTGGTTGGCAGTATTTTTCCTTCATCACATTGACTATATCATTCTAATTGCTCCTGAACCGTAAGTTTTCTTTGAAGATTCACTAATAGACTTACGGGGATTCCCTTGTAAATAGCAAGCTTTTCTCCTCTTGCTGCTTTTAAGCTGCTGTGTTTGTCTTTAATATTTGACAGTTTCATCATAACGTGAAGATTTTTTCCATTGAATTTGTTTGGGGACCTATGAGCTTCATGAACTAGAATGGGCAAATCTCTCCCCAGATTTTGAAGTTTTCAGCCATTATTTCTTTAAAGAAGCTTTCTGGCTCTTTCTCTTCTCCTGTGACTCTCTAATTTGCAGATTTCTGTTCTTAGTGGTATTTCATAATTCACATAAGCAGTCACTTTTCTTCTTAATTCTTCTCTAGTTGGATAATTTCAAAGTTCTTTTCTTCTGTTCACAGATTCTTTTGCCTGACTCATTCTGATGTTGATGCTATCTATTGTGTTTTTTCATTTTATTCGTTGCATTCTTCAGCTCCAGAATTTCTGCTGGACTCTTTTTTTGGTGTGTGATTTCTATCTCTGTTAAACATCTCATTTTGCTTGTGTATTGTTTTCTCAGTTTCATGGGATTGTTTTGTATGTATTTTCTTGTAGCTCATTGAGCTTCCTTTAAACAGATATTTTGAATTCTTTCTCAGGTAAATGGTAGATCTCCATGTTTTTGGGGCGAGTTACTGGAATATTATTGTTTTCCTTTGGCGGTATCCTGTTTGCTTGACTTTCAGTGTTCCTTGAAGTTCTATGTTGCTGTCTTCACATTTGAAGTAGCAGTCGCTTCCTCCAGTCTTTACTGACTGATTTCAGGAGAGAAATAACTCTCCTTCAGCCCTGTTAGGAATTCTGAGACCTTCTCAGACTTTCTATAGCCTGCTCCTTACTTCTTACTACCTCTTACGGCAGAGTTTTTTAGCTTGTATACCTTCTCTTGATCCTGCCGTATACCAGGCTGGGTGCCGGCAGCCTGCCTTTTACTTTCCCGAGAGCAGTGAGTGCTCAGAGTTGGAGTTTGTGGCTTCTCCTTGGCCCACAGGTTCAGACCTGCCTTGTTCTGAGTATGCGCCTGTCATCTGCTAACGTGTGTTTTCACCACTGTTGGACGCATACCCAGGGGGCTGGCCATGAGGTGTGTATATTTGCGTTTCTGTGTGTGAGTTTGTGAAGTGCCTGGAGTAGCTGTGCTGGTTGGGGAAATCTGGGGGCAAGATATCCCAGTGACTCGTAGGCAAGCCACCGCGATGTGGTTGCAATCACTCTTGTCTCTCTGATGCCTTCTCCTCACGGCCGCTGTTCTCCCAGCCATGCGGCTCGTGACCCAGCATGCTGGGTGAGGCCAGAGGGAGGCGTGCCTCCTGGATGGTGTCCACGTCGCTGGGGGAGACCAGAGGGAAGCGTGCCTCCTGGATGGTGTCCACGTCGCTGGGTGAGACCAGAGGGAGGCGTGCCTCCTGGATGGTGTCCACGTCGCTGGGTGAGACCAGAGGGAAGCGTGCCTCCTGGATGGTGTCCACGTCGCTGGGGGAGCCCGGTGCTACGCACATGTCCTCCCTTTCCCCTGTGGGCAAGTCACAGGCCGAGAAGCGTTCTCTTAGGCTGCATTGCGGCGCCTTCGGGGAACATGATGAGGGTTCTCTTAGGCTGCGTTGCGGCGCCTTCGGGGAACATGATGAGGGTCAAGTCAAACTGTTCCTCTTCTCCTCTCCAGTGTCTCCAATCTTGGATTTTTTATTTTTTTGCTCCGGTGGTTTGTTGGAGCTTCTCCACTGAGCTCCTGGGCTTCCGTAAAGTAAGCAGCTCATTGTTCTAGTCAGTATTCTATAGGGACTCCTGGTTTGTGGCCAAGAGGGGCTAGAGCCAGTTCATGGGCCATTCAGGGTCCCCAGCTGGCACTGGGGTCTGTATGTCTATTCCCCTTGGCACATGGAGCTGGATTCTGCTGCTCCTAGAGGCACCTTTGTCCCTGGATGGATGCCAGATCACTGTTGTGGAGGGGGATGTGTTAGTTAGGCACATCTTATTTGGCCATCTTGGTAATGTCGCTCTCTATACATTACATTTGAACAAGCACCAGCTTAGGGTCAGAACAACTAGGGAAGCTGTAGGTGGCACTTCAGAGCAGGGAGACATCCAGGCCACCTATTATTACAAATGCATTGGCATGCTATAATTATTTTGTAAAATTTCAGGACATCTAATTTACTTGTTTTTGATAATTGGAAATGTTTTATATTTTCCAGCTGTCTAATATACATTTATGTATTTTTTTCCTGAATATTGTTTAAAAAAACAAAGGAGAAAATCAATTGTAACAAACTACTACAAAAGAGACGCAAGTTGCTATACAAACTCTGAGATCCCTGGATTGGAGTTAAGTTTTATGTGTGCATATATTTTTCAAATTATGTTGGATTCTGTCTTCAGTTGTGCTTATAAACTTTTGAGGATCGATAACCCTTAAATTGGGCTTCCTTGGTGGCACAGCAGTAAAGAATCCTCCTGCAATGGAGGAGACACGGGTTCTGTCGCTGGGTTCAGAAGACAGCCTGGAGGAGGAAACGGCAACCTGCTCCAGGATCCTTGTTTGGGAAAGCCCGTGGGCAGAGGGGCCTGGCAGACTGCAGCTCGTGGAGTGGCGAAGAGCTGGACACAGCTGAGCCGCTGAGCGGACCAGCTCGCACGCAGCGGTTCATAAGCGTGGGCGTGGTTCCTAGGTGTGATCACTTCTCACAGACATTTGTATAAATGCAGGTTCAGCTGAGATTGTTCGCTGCTACTGCTTTTTATTGTTTGTGTCCTGGGAAATCAGCATCAATTTAATACTACCATGTTTCATTGTAGGTTTTTGGCGTGTTCTCTTTTAGAAAAACTTTCATTTATATTTTCTATGTTAAAGACAAAAGGCTAGTTTATAGTACTGAGAACCACGTGGTGAAATCAAGTTCTCTGTCTTTGATCTTTCCCCCTGTCCACAGAAACCCAACATTCATCCGTTTGAATGACCAGAATAATTTAAACACTTAGCAAGAACAAGAACCCGAGAACTTGTACATTTTCAGTGATCTCCTGCAAGTTTCTTTGGGAATTTCATCTGAAGAAAATCAAGCTAAGTGTTTGTTTTAGGTGAGAAACTCGTGTCAGTAAGTCTCATATTTATTTAGCCAGTGAGTACTTACGTAGCTATAGAATGTATCCGGTGTGTTGGGGGTGGGGAAGGTACGTCTGTTATGGCTCTTTTTTTAGAGGAAGCTTGTTGATTTGTTTTTGATCACACACAGGCGCTCTGGTTGCAGGGAGTTGGGGCTTCTCATTGTTGCAGGGCATGGGCTCTGGGGCTCAGTAGTTGCAGTTCTTGGGCTTAGTTACCCAGAAGCTTGTGGGGTCTTCCTGGACCAGGGATCAAACTCGAGTTCCCTGCATAGGCAGGTGGATTCTTAACCATTGAACTACCATGGAAGCCCCTGATGTGGCATTTTAAAATCTGTTTGAAGTCATAATGCCCATTGGAAACTAAAATTTATTTGCACTACTAAAAATAATCAGTAAGATATTTCATTTTCTCTTGTAATGAAGACATATGTCTCAGCTACTAGATCATTGCCATAAAAGTGTTCAAAATATGAAACAATGTTTCTTGAGTGAATTTGGTGGTATGAACACTAGAATAGGAATGATAATTTAGAAGACTTTTTGTGAGACATTGTCGAGAATATTTTAAGAGACAGCTCTACTTGTAACTCGGATACACAGTCATTTTACTGATAAATGAGAAATGACAAGGGAAGAATCAACCACTGACTACTCAAACTTTTCCATAAATACAATGAAATTTTAGTTTTTAAATTTTAATGTAGGTATTTTCTTCACATACTTATTTTCACAATTCATATGAAGTCAAGCAAATACCGAAGATATCATGCAAAAGGTATTTAATTAAGATATGAATGATCTTGCAAGGATTTTTGATTTTTTGACACTTAAATGCTTTCTGTTTGATTGAGAAAATAAATATTAAGCTATATAAAGGCTCAAATAAAATGGTGAGTAAAACTTTTGTACCTTTTGTAAACTAGGTGAACACTGGATGATATTCAACAATTGGGATTATCTCTCCTGTCTCTTCTACCTAAAGGCCTAATGGAATTAGAAATATTTTATGTACATTTTAAGATTACAGTTTCTTTCAGGCCTTTATCAGTTGAGTAAGTGTGAATGAGTGTGTAATTCTCATATGGCATATTAAACACAACACATTTACACTCCTGTGTTCTGAGCCAGTTGTGAATGGTAAATATTTAGGTACAGATATTATATTTTTAGGACAGTTTAGTCTTATAATCGGGGCTTTATCTTTTATCTTTTTTTTTTTTTTGTCTCTGTTGCGTTTTCCTCCTCTATCTGTAGAGCAATTTTATTAGTTTTACAGAAGTCTCCCTATATAGGTTTTAGATAGTTCTGCATGGGAAACTTTAACCTACCTTCTAACTATCAGATATACCAAAACCTTGTAGATTTGATGACACTCTTTCTTTTGTGGGGCTTTAAAGGAGCCGTAAGGAATGTCCCAGATTATTTGTTAACCTAGTTTCTCGGAATCTTTTAAGATCCTCTAAATTTTTATACAGATTGTTCTGAGATGTTTATAGAAAGTCAAGGAACTCTCTACTTAAATCTCCCTAAAATTCTCGTCAATCATCTCTTTCTGGATTTCCAGAATGTGGATACCAGTGTTATCATATGATGAGATACAGAAGAATGCAGTTAGGGAAAAGGTATTTTGTAACACTACCTTAAGCAATACGGTTATAGAGTATAAAGGTAATAAGTTACTCTGATTGACCTTAGTCGACATGACTTTCTCTTTTCAATTTGTACTATATTTCCAGGCTTCTTTTCTATCCATTGTTAGACAGGGATTACAGTTGATCAGACATTCTGGCTGTGTCTATAACTGCCAAGAGGTGTTTTGGCAGGTCAATCCTCTGATTATGACACTTTAAATTAAACTGTTTTGAATTTAATGTACATTATATTGATGAGAACTGGATTGTTTAAGGCACTGAGATTCATTTCTAAATAAACTACTTTATTTCCTTCTAGAACATCCTTTTGCTATTGTGAAGACATGATCTACTTGTATTAAATATATGTTTTTAAAATTTGTTTTTAAAATATGTTTTTAAAAATTGAAGACATTCTTCTGTGTTAACAGAACGCATAGAAAGAATTAAGGCATGATTATTAATATTAATAGGGGAATGTAGAGAACATAATTTATGAAAAACAGAAGGTGAGTTTTGGAATATATTTTATTTTTATTATCTTGGCACATGAAGTGATGAAGCCACATGGTGAAAGTGGTTCTGAAGAAAGTGAAGGTTCTCATTTTTATCTCATGACCCAGAGTCTATTACCTTTCAAAATACTCAAAATAATACTTTGTGCTGTGTTACAACTTAACTTAAACTTTAACCTAAAGCTATTTGTTAGGATGTTATGGAGAGTAAATAAAAGCAAAAAGAAATAACACAGGACTTGAGTGAGCAAGAAAGGACCTGTTCAGGTGATGTGGAAACCAATCTAGGTATAAGCAAAGACTTGACTTTCTAGTGAAATGTGTTACAACTTAACTTAAACTTTAACGTAAAGCTATTTGTTAGGATGTTATGGAGAGTAAATAAAAGCAAAAAGAAATAACACAGGACTTGAGTGAGCAAGAAAGGACCTGTTCAGGTGATGTGGAAACCAATCTAGGTATAAGCAAAGACTTGACTTTCTAGTGAAAAGCAGGGGGAGAGTTAACTGGCTTATTCCAAACAGAGAGCAATTCTTTATGAGGTATGCTTGAGGATATACTTGGCAATAAATTTGACAGCTAGCATGGTCTCTTTACACGTTGGCTTTATCTGAGATTCTGGAAGGAGAAAACCAAGTCTTCCTTTATCTCGGAGCTCAAAGGCAAATGAGTGTTTGATGCCCAGGTTGTAAGCCCAGTCTAAAGAAGAACCTGATGCTGGGTCTGTAAGACATAAGCAGTAAGTATTTAATTAGAAACAAATGTTAACAGGTTTTTGAAAAGGAAGTTCACTGGTGTAAAATTAGCAGTGAAACCTGATTACATGTACACTCAATCGCAGCATGGGTGAGAGCAGTGGTCTGCGCAGTATAGAGCGTGCCTGTGTGTTCACTCGGGTCCAGCTCTTTGCGACCCTGTGGACTGTAGCCCGCCAGGCGCCTCTGTGCGCCAGGCTGCAGTCTTGGGTGAAAAGTAATCATGGCTTAGAATCCACCACATGCTTTGAATATGTGCTGCATGTTCAGAATTACATTTTGCTTGGATCATTTTGAGTCTAAATTGACTTCGTTTTCTGGGTGCATGTTGTCACAGATGGAGGTGGTCTGAGCAAATGCAAGCAGCTGAGGCCAGCTCAGCAGTGGGTGGGTCGCTGAAAACCCAGCATGGAGGGCAGTGCGTACAAGATGCGAGAACTTAGATTCCTTCTCACAGTGCAGGGCTGTTTCCGTTTATGTTGCTAGGATGAAATATTTCACAGTTAAAAGACAGAGAAAGTTTAAATCAGTTATTTTAAGGATGCATTTAATCCCCCTAATCCAACATTTCCATGTCCGTTTTTGTGAAATTTTACTAAGAATATTATTTGTTAAAAAGACCAAAAATATAAACATCTAGAGGTTATGTACAAGCTTTATATAAATACTATAAATATATTTTGTACATTTTGACTTACATAATAGAAAAATATATATTCTTTGTATATAAAATTACTTATGTTTTAGAAAAAGTAATGAGTTTAACTGATACTAACACTTTAGATTTGAAAGATAAGAATTCAAAGTTGTGATGAAGAAGTAGAGAAAGAATATTTTGTTAGAGAGATAGGGTTGGCTTTAAAGTTATTCAATATGTATTTATCAAACCTTGAATATGTGCAATGCACTTTTTACTGGGACCTGTAGAGGGTGGTTATACAGGGTACAGAGATGAAGAAGATACTGTTGGTGTGTTTGGAACTTAGACTTGGTGGGGAAAGAAGTCAAATCTGCAAATCAGTAGAGATGTGGCAGACTGTTAAAGAATCATAGGAAAGTATCTTGTGAAGATTCAGAGGAAGAAAGAGATTAGGTCTGGTCAAGGGGATGACATTTCATGCTCAATACCTGCTGAAATACCACCTTCACGATGGAGATTGCATTTAGCCTTCAATTAGCCTTCCACTGAATTTAGCCATCAATGTAGCCTTCAATTAGCCTTGAAGAAAGTCTAGTATTTTTCCAGATGGGGATTGAACAAAGGCATTCTAGCCAGTGAACCACAAGAATGGAAAGCTTGGAAGGGCTTAGGGACCAGTGAGATCCAGCTGAACTGGAAAGTGGAACAGCCAGAATTTGTGGGCAAAGTTCAGAAAGCCGGGTAAGTCAGGAAAGATGTTTTGTTCAAAAACCAGTCAGAGCCATTTCAGTGCTGTAGTTCCGACAGCACTGCAAAGAGACCGGTTAGGAGGTTCTGTGGCGTGAAAGGCTGAACTAGCATAGAGTCACCACACAGGGGACAGGACTGGTGGGGCTTGCTGTAGGAAATGCCGGAAGGGAAGAGTCACAGAAGCTGAAGAAAATGATAGAGACTGCAGTCCGGATAGCTGGACAAATCCATGTGCTACTAACAGAAACAGGAATTCAGAGGGAGCAGTGATGGGGAAAGAAAGGATAGGGCAAGGAAGACAAAAGGATGTGTTCAGCATCAGTCAGGGGGCAGGCGCCTCCTACTAGGGATCTGGGGACTGGCGGCAGAACACGGGGGAGCCCTGTGGCCTGGCACAACCGGAGAAATACCGGCGGGTGTCCAGCCTTGACAGACGCAAGAACCCTGTCTAGCCCTGGGCTGGAGGGCGGGGGAGCTCCCGGGCAGCTCTGCGCAGCGCCTGCCACACACACAGCGTGTGACGCGGAAGGGAGTGTGAAGCCTTGCTTCTGCACTGACGTGTGAGTTGGCAAGCTCGGAGGCTGATGAAAGCCAGGGGTCGCTGCCACCTTTCTCTGATTTACTGTGTCTTAGAGGAAGGTGTCTGGGAAGATGGATTTGGAAATTAGCAAGCAGAAGCATC